TACATTAGCTTCTCAGATATTGGAAGTGTGCCTCCCTCTGATCACATTTTAGCTGTGATTGTTCAGCACTTGGAAGGTGATATTATAAGGTATTACATTTGGCATGCAATGTGTGACAGACATGAGTAGTGGCCGTCTATTAAAAGCACAGTTTGGCTACTGTGATGCAAGAACCACCAGCAGACACACAGGTGTGAAAGCAGGTTTTCTTGATAGAGTGATCAGGTTCTGAGTAAAGCCTTCTCTTCCTGCAACACCTTGGCTTTCTAGTCTGCAGTAACTAACACAAAGCAGATACCTTCTTCCCCGTGTGCCTTATCTACCTGTGTAGTCTACGTTTGGTTTTTCCTGGTTCTTGAGTGCTTAACTTTGTAGCTAAGATCACTAATACATTTTTATGCAAAACTAATCATCATCTCTCAAAGACAATACCTACATTAATTTCATTAGCTGGCAGGAGCCTTGTTACCTTAAACTACGTTTGTGTTTTGTTTTTATTTAACCTTCAAAGCATTGTGGAAAAACATAGTCTGGGTGCAGGCAGGAGCACACAAAGGTGGTGTAGTCTCCATGCAAGGAGGGTAAGACCACACAAAAGATCACTGCAGGTGAGAATGTCTGCATGGCAGCTTCCCTGCCGAGCAGAGAGGGAAGCTGTAAGTAGGCTAAGCAGAGAGGGGAAATCCAAACTGAGTGGTGGCCTATAAAAGATTTTGAGGTTAGTGAAGAAGAAATAGCACATAGTTTTGATATCTAGGTGAATACAAGCAATGTGGTTATTGTACCCAGCTATGGCTTTTATTATTACTTTGCTGTAAAGAGGTTTTGAAGTCTTGAAAATACATTTAATAAGTTGCTGGCTATAGTGAGCTTATCCAGAAAACAGCAGCTGGTATTTTAACTTGGAAGAGGTCTTCTTTAAAGTTACTTCAGCTTTGTTGTGCAAGACTTTGGTAAGAGGAAGTATAGAATAAGACTTGTAAATAATGAATTATTCATAACAGCTGCAGTGATAAGAAACTGTACTTTATTCTGAGCATGACACTGCCTTGGCAGTGGTGATGTAGCTGTCACTTCCAAGCTTCCTTCCCAGCCGGTGAGGAAAACTGGACAACAGCCTGCTCAGAAAGGCAGGTGTAGCCTTTGCATGCAACGAGGGTAGAAAATCATTATTTTTATGTTCTGTCCCAGAAAATCAGTGGCATCTCAATAAATAAAAGACCTTGACTGGTCTATTTCAGTGCCTGTCATTCAGAAAGATGTTAAAATGTGCTCAGCTGCAAGGCTGATAGAATTTTGTGTACACTGGTTAGAAAGTGTTGCAGTAGCCTTTCCCTGAGCAGGTGTAATCTGCCTTAAAAATGATGTCTGACCACTGTAGCACTCAAACCAATTGCTAAAAGAAACTCCTCAGAAGTATTGCATTTGTGAAAAAGCAGCCAAGTGGCTAAGAGGAGCTACTGGTTAAAAAATCCAATTTAAGCTGACAAAAGGGTATGTGCACATACACTGCTTGGGGTAGCGGGAAAAGCTGTGTCATCTACAGGGCAATTAGATACCTATCACTTAATCTTTCTTTCTGGATTAAAAAAAAAAGAACAGGTAGCACCAGAGCTGCCTTAACTCAAGGAAGTTATTTAGATTACTTAATGCTGCAGCAGATGGATGTTCCAGGTGCAGCAATCCCCTGAGAAGGGCAGAAATTAAAAGGCAGGGCACTGGAGAGAGAGAAACAGAACAAAAGTAGGTAAAAAGTAATCGATTTAGGAGTAGTAAGGAAGGGATAGGTTATCCCAGTGCAATGCAAGTTAGAATCAGGCATGCTTGTGTGGAGTTAAGGATGGTCAGGGGCCAGATGCAGAAAACCTCAGGGACTCTATTTCGTCTGTCGTGTGAGCTGCTCAGAAAAGTGGAAAGCTCTTTCCTTGTTCCAGAGAAAGAAATTACAGCCTTTCAATTGGAGTAACTGTCCATTTTATAAAAGAAAAATCCACCTTCATGTGGATGGTCATTGTGTCCTGTGGTGGGTTCAGAGGCAGCTGGTGGGAGCAGTAATGGCTTTTTGATAGGCTAAAATGACCAGGTATTTGTTTTGCTTTGTTCAAGCTAACAAGAACTAGGTCTGTGTACCAGAGTCAGGGAGATGGACAGGTCACCTCAGCTTGGGTGGGCCTGGGCTCGCTCAGCTCTCCTCAGGCTTGTTCACGTTTCTGTCCAGCCAGTGCTTTAAGGGGTGGGCAGATGCCTTTTACACTGTGTGTTGGGTATGTTTTGAGTCCTGCACTGGGGTGTGAACTGATGAGATCAAGTACTGAACGTTTGGGAACGGGTCCTCTTTCTGAGGAGGGTATGATCCCAAAGTCATTTCTGGCCTGCACCGATTAGGACTATGGATCTGGAAGCTGAAATGAGTGTTGCAGCAATTTGTAATGTAGAGCTCTGATTTCCATAAGAAGCTAATTCAGTAGCTCAGGTTTGTAGTGTCATTCTAACTCCTGATTTAACAATAGACATGATTTGAATGTGTAGGTATTTAAAGGTTATTGTGTCTGTTACATGAGAACATTCTGTTGTGTTCTGCAAAGGCTTCTTATTCCCCAGAGAACTGAGTGAACACTATAGAAATGAAGACAGTGAAGTGGTAGGACAGGCTGTCCTGACTGCTGTACAGAGTAGGGTAATGCAGGAGTCTGTTACCCACCCATGAAAAGTAAAGATGACTACTGCCAGTGAGGAGGGTGGCATCCCTTTCACATACCACCTGCCTCAGCCCAGGCACTGAAAAAAATGAAGTACTGAAGTACATGAAGTGGTGCTGCAGGTAGAACATGGTCCTGTTTCCCAGCTACATCAACTTCCCTCAATGCCAGCAATTTGTCCAGTCCCTTAAGTTTTCTTACAAAGGCCTTTTAGAAATTCTATTTAGGAAAACAGCTTTTTTTTTTTTTTTTTTTTTTTTATTTCAGTATTGCCTTCACAGTACCTTGAGTGTCTTTCAAGAAATTCTCCTATAAAGTAACTACAGAAACAGGAATTACTGGAGTCAGACCATGACTGCCACAGCCTAAAGCCATAGCAGTAGTTGTAACCAGTCCCAAGTGCTAAAGCAGGAACAAACCCTGCAGTTAGCTTGTTACACTACAGTCCCCCAAAACGTGTCTTCTTACCCCTTGACACTCACACCTGACTTGAACTGTACATCAGTCCTGCTGCCATACTTTCAGAAACAACATGAAACTAATTTATATTGTTTAATGCAATGTTCCTGTCAGGTTTTAGTGCCTCACTCTTTAAAATGTTGCCTTGTTATCTGATTAAGAAGGTGAAAAAGTTTCTAGTCTGCCATCAGTTGTTACTTTCTATACTTCTGTCTGATATTTAAGGTGAACAGTTACAGTGTTTTCACATCAGCCTTTTTTTCTGGCCTATAGCAATCCTTATATGATGTGGGGCTTGAAATCTGGTCACAGCTTCCCCAGCAGCTGCTGTACAAGAGGTCTGTGATTTCCCATATTATTATTATAATTTGTCTCTCGTTTTAGTGCAGCTTTGTTTTCTGTTTTCCTCCTCCCCTCAAAAAAACAGACATAACTGACTAAGGGTGTTCAGTGAACTGTGCATAAAAACATACATGTCTTTCTGCAAGGACAGAGTAGTTAATTTAAAGCCTAATAATCTGTATTAATACCTCATAGTATTCACTCTAGACATGAATTGCTTTGCAGTCAAAAACTGCAGTCTTGACATTGCTGGGTTTGTCTTACCATCTGTTCATGAAATACAACTAAATTTTCTGAAAGAACCCGGATGTGCCATCTGCACACTTTGCTATTTCCCTTTTAAAAATAAAAATTAAGCACACCACAGATGGAAATATCAATCCCTTAAAAAATCTTAAGTTTGTATAATTGTAGAGTTTCTGGGGTTGGTTTTTGTGGCTTTGGGATTAGGTGTTTTTAAGCATTGATTTTCTGGTTAATGTTAAAGTAGCAGAAAGTTAGGAATATCCTGTCATTACCAGAAAGAAGGAAAAAAAAATAAAATATTTTTAATAATGTGTTGTTAGCACAAGGAAAGAACGTACCTTAGGCTGACTTTTTTTTTTAAAACTCCCTTTTTTAGTGTGGCTAAGTTAACAGTTGCCCAGTAAATAAGGAGACAAGCCTCTTTGACTTTCCCTCATGTAAACATATTGCAGGATCTTAAGGATTAAATGTAAAACTCTCTTTATGGTATTTAAGGAGACATGCAGAGTATCATGGTTTGAAAATGAGAGAGGGGGGTATGCCTGCAGTGATTTCACTAAAAGGTACCTGCCTGTGATGTGAATGCTTCTTCTGAGTGTTTTTAGGACTGTTTATAGGCTTGGCTCCTTATTTGGAAATTTGTTCTACTCTTATATGGTGAGAGTTGGTCTTGAGATGCTCGTTAATCCTTGCTCATTTTAGTCTCAAAGTCACTAAACTAGTCACACTGCAAATGAATTCCAGATAAGATAGGATGTATATCTCCTGCTTATCATGTGTGTTAACTCAGCCTCAGGGCCTGGGATCTGCATTATCATTGTCTCATGGTTTCCAATTTACTTAGCAACAGGAAGAGCAAAGCTCTCTAGCTCAGAGGTGTAGGTAATGTACCTGGGAGTGCACATCTGAGTTTATGAAATGTTTTGGAACTGAGCTGAAATGGTAGGTAGTACAGTGGAAAACATACAGGGTATCACGCTTACGTTTTCATGCTTTAATTGCTTCTGGTGCAGTGCAGGAACGTTGCCAGTAGTGAGAGGCAAACCCTGACTGAGCTCACTGCAGTTCAGTCTTTGCCACCAAACAGGAAACCCATGAAGCTGAATCTCTGTGGGATGAATTTTGTATATGGGTAGGAGACTTCTCTGTGAACTATATTGTCTTAGGATATATTGTCCTTGAATTAATACCACTTTTAAGCAATGTTCTTAAGATTATTCCTCAATCTAAAATATAAATTATTGCCTTTTTTAGGAAATCCAGTAGAGGAGACTTCGTATTTTCTGCTGATCGTCTGGTAGGCGATTTTTTCTTCTTGATATTGTACTTTGTAGCTCTTCCATAAAATGAGTATTTCAGGCTAGAATAATGGTGGTGTGAGAGCAACATTTCTGCACAAAGGAAATGACTGTTTGACAGGAACTGTCTGTGTAGGGACTTCTGTTTCTGTTATGGAGTGCTTTCATTTCAAAGGGTTCCAGAAAGCATGTTATTATCAAACACAGCTACTTCAGGACAGAGGATACTGCTTAAAAACAGATGCACAGAGGCTAGAGATAATTCAATTTTACTTTGAAACAGTACTTTTGATCTTGTGAACAGAGCTGTAAAATTTCTTACAGTTTAGATGTTAACAATCACTTGCATGCAGTAGTGGCTCCTGGCACTTGTGTATTAGATTAATAACTCTTGGTGCATCCACACTGGGAACTGGGTTTTAGCCATACAGCTGTTACTACCAGAGACAAAGCAATTTGGAGTTTTCACACACTTTACTAAGTCAAAACAAAAACTGTTGGGAATGCAACATTTATCTCATTTAAATTACATGCTTAAAGAAAACCACAATGCTCACACCCACACATATACTTTCTTGTGGTCGTGAGGGTGTTTGCTGCTTGAAATCCACATTTATTTACAAGGAAAATCTTTCTTTTCCCAGTTAGCAAAGATGAATCTGGAGACCATTCAGTAACCAGCACCATTTGCTACAGCAGGCAGGTTTCCTGGGATAAAGAAAATCTTAATCTGTGCCTGATCCAGGCTTGCTGAGGGTTTAGGTGCAACCACAGGGGTTGTAAAATTAAGGGACTATTACCAATTCCTAGAAGAGACTGCCTGTGTACTAGGAACTAGAGCAGAACAGAAGAAGAGAAAATAAATCTTCCAAGCTGCTCTGCCCTGTTTCTGGAATAGGAAATGTCTAAAGTGAGCAGTGCACAGTCCCAGGAGCAGTTGCCTAATTTCTGTCATCATACAGAGACTGCTGCTTAACAGGTTTCATCTTTGGTTTTGCAGTACCTTTCCATGAGTAGTTCTAGCCTGTGAATCTTTGGCTTAGTAGCAGAGAGAAATTTTACATCTTTAATACCCAGAGCATCTTTATTGGGCAGTCATTCTGGGTTTAGATGAATGTGGTTTGGTAACTTTGCCTGGGGCACAGATGCAGGACAGCTCCAGGGGAGAGCTGGAGGTTTTCTGGCCACACAAGGCTGGAAGGATGGGGGGTTTGTATCTGCACCGGTGAAAGCCCAGGTGCTTGGCAGAGAATCCCATAGTAACCACAGCTGGGAGGTGCCAGAAAAAAGAGGCAATTAGGCAATTAAGGGATTTCTACATCTTCTGACTTTCAGCACTTGATGGTGCATTTCCATTGCTGCAGCTCCTGTGGTTGTTCTGGCAGCCCCATGGCACTTCAGTCTTAGAAATACAGATGTGAAAATAGATCTCAGAGCCTGGCTAATGGGGAACTGAGAGGGCTAAATTTTCCCTTTTTCTCACTAATATTTTTTGTCAACAAAATGAACTTGTACTGGTCCTTCACTCATTTGTCGAGAAGAATTTGTCTGTGATGCTTATGCCTGCCAAATAGAAATAAAGCCAGTTTTATGATTGCAGATTAATCTTCCCCCTTTCCTCAATTTTGCTTTGTAATGTCTTAATTTGGTATGTGGACAAAACATAAGCATTACCCCCAAAAGGTCTCAAAAGTCAGTTAGTCCTTAACTACTACTGAAGAGACCCTTCCAGACCCTTCAGGCTGTTAGGTGTTCACCTAGTACTTGTGAAAACTACTAACATTTGGTACCTTATCTCCATAGATAACAAATCCCTTTAAACTGACTGATCTGTTTGGTTTTACAGATCAGACTGGTGGTTGAAGAGGGACTGAACCAATTGCCATACACAGAGTGTACTGTCACCACTCCAACAGGTATGTGGGTAATTACTCCTCCCCCAGGTAGGAACAGAAGTGGAAGCTTAACTAATACAAAAAAATAGGGAACTGTTACCAGAATCACAGAATATTTTGAGTTGGAGAGGACCCAGAAGGATCATTGAGTCCAACTCCCTTCTCCTCGCAGGACTACCTAAAATCTTATGACTAAGAGCAGCTCTGTGCATTCACACCCTCTTTCTTCCCCTAAGCTCTTCAAAGTAAACCATTTGTATGTCTTTACTTTTAGTTAGAGAATGATGGACTGAAAACACTCTGAAATTAAGCAGAATTTAGGAGGACACTTAGTAGGCATCATCTTTACCTTTGCTTCTTTTTAAATGAAATGACAGCTGCATTATTTACTTCTTGAGCATTGGTATCACATCTGTTCCAGGTGAGTCAGTGATGGATATATTGATGACATCTTCTCTCTGCATTACACAATTTGACTGGCAGGTCTACAGTTCTCTTTGTGTGGACCTTGCCCACTGAGGACACGTTGCCTTGGTTCACAGGCTTTGTTTCCTGCCCTCACCCCTAGCCACACTCTCCCAACTGTGCCCTTTCACTCCAACACATGTGCCCAGTGAGGGAGCTAGAATGGCCTTAGCTGAGCTTTTCCAGCAGGAAGTGTCTTGAGGACTCACATGCTTCTGCCTGAACTCCTGCTTCTCTATACTCAGTTCTTTCCCTGCAAGCATCTGTAAGATGGTGTAAGCACAGGTGATTTTTGCTTCTCTGGGCTCAAAAGCAGAACACCCCTCAAAGACATCAGCGACACGCTGTTCTTTCCCCTTTAAGGGAGCCTTTGGACTGTTTTCAGGCAGGAAAGGGAATATACAGCACCTATAAGGAATATGTCCACATGTTCTTCCCTGCAGTGGTGCTGGGCAAGCTTGTTAGCATGTTAGACCTGAAGAACTGTGACTGGGACAGTCTTGCTTTGCTGTCTTTATCTTTGAATTAACAAAAGACCTGAGCTCACGGTACCAATGATTGTATCTCTCATGTACATACCATTGCCCACTTTTCTCTTTCAGTGATCAAGAACACAATGACAGTAGGATTGTAGCATCATATTTCAGGTCTAACCCTTCCACCTGCAGCATAGGACTGCACATGGCTTCTTAGAGGATGCACTGTTTACCTTTATTTTGCATAGTGTTCTTCATTTAAAATAATCACAGAATACCTGAGTTATAAAACACGCACTTGAAAGGATCACTTTTTTTTTAAGGTTAAAAAAAAAGCGCAGGTTCTTCACCAGTGACAGTTTCAGCACTGTTCCCACTGCTTATTTGAGGGCTGCAGGATATGGTGAGCAGATTGGTTCACGCTGCCTGTGGAGAGACAGGGAACTCACTGTTGTCCCCTGCTATTCAGGGGAATCTCTGTTCCGTTCACACCGAGGTCACTTAGACCAGTGTCCTCAAAGGGGCATTAAGCTGGGGCAGAAGGAGCCATTGCTGCCACTTACATCTGGGTTTTTTTCTTCTCACAGGACACAAGTATGAAGGAGTCCGGTTTGAAAAGGGAAACTGTGGAGTCAGCATCATGAGAAGTGGTAGGCAGCTTCTGGTTGTTGAATGAGCACAAATTAAACATTTTGGAAACCTGTAAGCACCTTCCTTTCAGAAATGTGCACCAACACTTCTCTACAGCAAAGTTTTACCCAAACCTGCCAGCTGTTCTTCCTTCTTAGGTATCCTTAACCACAGAATGTCAAATAATAAGTTTCATTAACATTTGAGGAGACAAAGAGCTGCAACATTTTTCCTCTGGCCTCTTCTCTAGCAGCTATGAGAAGCCAGGCCAACTGTCCTTCCTTGTTTGCCACCAACTGGCTCTGCCCAGAGACAGATCTTCAGCCACACTCAGGGGTGTCTGTTGTTTTGCCCAGTGTGTGGAAACTTGTGTGTCTGTGATGTCAAACCCAGTGGCTCCACAGCTTCCTGCACAGCATTTTGCACCATGGTGTCTGGGCAGAGCTCAGAGAGATTTCAGCTCCCAGCTTGGAGAGCTTAGCACTGGTGTGTGTGAACACCAATGCCCAGGAGCTGAGTAACCACATAGCCTGGTTTTTCTGTCTTAAGCAGAGAAAAAAGCACTCTAGCTTCAAGTCTTTTTAACACTTAAAACCAAGACAAAATAAATAAATCTCCTTTTCAGAACCCTTCACCAATTGGAGCTATATTTAATTGCAATTGTATTTAATCTTGCAATGGTGCTGTTTCTGAGAGTGTAACAATTCCTTGTTTCCCTTTGTGGCTCACGTGGAGGAGAGGCCATGGAGCAGGGGCTACGGGACTGCTGCAGATCCATCCGCATAGGAAAAATCCTGATCCAGAGTGACGAGGAGACTCAAAGAGCCAAAGTCTACTATGCCAAGTTTCCACCAGACATCTACAGGAGGAAAGTTCTTCTGATGTACCCAATACTAAGTAAGTGTCTTTCATCATTACGTACAGCCAGACTCATCTGAACAGTAAGTGCCCTGTGAACATTTCTAAGCTCCAGGGGCTTAATTTATCAGCCTGTGTCAGAACACATTTTAATGTGTTAATATCAGCCTGCACCAGCAGGAATGCAGAGCCAATCATTTGGGCATGCCTGTGGTTGTGAGAAAGGTTAAAGCACTGAAACAATATAAATTCAATTTTTAAAATTTTGCCACAAGACTCAAATAGTATTTTTCTCATGCTATTAAAGACATTTATTTATCTATTTATTCATTTATATAGCCCTAGAAGTAAATTACTTAAAATTAAATACAGTTAATATTACCAAAATAATGTAATCCGGTAAGAATGGTACGGAGTTTGTCAGGGTGAAGTAACTTTTCCAGTCCAAGATTTAATTCTAGTTCTACCCATTGAGCTCTTAACTGTCATTTTACTATTTTGTCCTCAGGGCTTTGATAAAATCCACTGACATCAGTGCTCAAACCTGGCCAAGTTGGCTGTTCCAGAGTAGAGACTGTTTTCTACAATTAAGACATGCAGAGGTGATAGTTTTCCAGTGAAAAAGGACAGTATAATTGTTTAGTCACACCCCCATGTTAACACAGATATTCTCAGATGGCCTGGGACAAGTTCTTCAACCATGAAAAAACAAAATAAACTCACTTTTTCCCCTTTTAGGTACTGGTAATACTGTCATTGAGGCTGTCAAAGTTCTTGTAGAACATGGCGTTCAACCAAGTGTCATTATCCTGCTAAGCCTGTTCTCCACACCTCATGGTAAGTTGAAGGGGCACAAGGGGGACAGGGAGTGAGCACAGGAACCTTTAATGGGGAAGAGTTACATTAGTCACCCCGTGGGGACAGCTCTGAGGAGCTCTGGCCCCTGCTCTGCTGGTGCAATTAACAGCAGAGAATTAACAAGAACATGTTTGGTTGGGGCAGACAAGTTGGCTACCAAAGGAGAAAAGGCTTGTTGCATCTAATGGTGAAACTGCAAATAGTAAAGTATTCCTAAAAGCAGAAATCTGCAAAGCTGCCAGGCACAAAAACTACCTCAGTGGCTCACAGAGCAATGCCAGTCCTGCTGTTGCTCTGGGCTGTGGCAGCCTATGGGTGTGTGAAGCTGGTCTGCCACCAAAAGAACAGTTTTGTGAGGAGCAGGAGGTAAATGAAGCTCCTGACTTGCCCTGCCTGTATGTTAAAGAGCTTAATTTTTAAAAGGGGATCAAAAAAAGGAACTTCTTATCCTGTGAAGTAAGAAAATGGATCCTTGTGTGTAATTTTAAAAATTGGCTACAGCAGAGATCACTATCTAGAAAGTCAGCTGAACTGCCCAGAGTTATTCCTGACAGTCTGTAACCACTTGCATGCTTAGATAGGGAGCATGCATGGTAAAGAAAAGAAAAATCCAAGTAAGAAAACCCAACCCAGCAATCCACTAAATTCAGGAAGTTTTTCCTCATAGGCAGCTAAGGTAGAAACATGGAGACTGAAGAGCAGATCATGACTTGCCTGCAGAATTCTGTTAATCATGACTTAACATGTGGTGCTGCCGTACAGCTGTGCCATAGTCATTATTGCCTTTTCCCTCTCTCAACAGGTGCCAAATCCATCATCCAGGAATTCCCAGAAATCACCATTTTAACCACAGAAGTTCACCCTGTTGCACCAACACACTTTGGACAGAAGTACTTTGGCACAGACTGACACACTTGGGACAAACGGATATGACCGTTATGGTACAAAAGGTTTTTGTTCGTTTTTTTCTCTATGTTTTATTACTGTCGAGTTGGCTGAGGGCATGATTAAAAATCCTTTTGGCCACAGGGGGAAATACTTGCCATGGCTCAGGGCTGGTGTGTTACTGCCCAACCGCTGGGCCAGGAATACTCTGCCATTACAAAGTTAAGCATCTCAATGTCGAGGTTGTCTAAGTTGCTACACTCTCTACTTTAACTTATTTATTCTATAAGCCTGTCTTGCGGCTCCTTGAGAGAGCAAAATAAAACAACTACATCACAAAGGTGTGTACTTAATCTCCAGTGGGAATGTTTACATGCTGCCAGGTCAGCTGGAACAGCCCCTCCACATCCTGCAAAAACGATGGGTGCACTTGGAACTCGGTGTCACTCTTAGCAGCCACTTTGAATTTCTAGCATATTTTTCAGTCTTGGGTTGGTGACCAAGAGCTAAAGAGACAAATCTCTGAATTTTGGTCTGCATAGATTATTTTTAAATAGTAAAACATCCACAGTTGTCTTGCTCAATGGTACTGAATAATGATGCTTCCTACTGTGGTGCACGTTCCCTGGAAAACGGTGTGGGAAGGGAAGGTGGGAGCAGCACTGGCTACAGGAATTCTACACATACAGTACTGAAGTTTTGCCTCTTGAAGTCTTTGTTGTTGAACAGGTATCACTGAAAGGAAAGCTGTGGCAAAAAGTTGAACTCAATTTCTGGTCTGTTTGCAGAGCTAGAGGGCTTAAAGTCAAACGAGAGATGCAGCCCTCGTGGCTCAGCACCCTCTGAAATCCACAATGCAGTAATTGTATCCAGTGGATTAAACATAAACCTACAGCCAAATACTTTCTTTGGCTTTAAACCCCCTGGCACCAAGTACAGAATACTAAACATTAATGAGCTAGTATCTTGCCTTACTGTAACTTTGGGAGGATTAAGATATAAAGACAACATAGTCTACTGTTATTTTTTCAATATGTTCTGAAGTGTGCAGCATTCCAGAATGCCATCACAGGCAGAGTGCTTCATCCCTCTTATCTGGTGAGTTGAATACAGAGGCTGGGGCTGCCCCCGCCCAAAAATTTTAAGAACAGAGACAACATT